GGGGAGGGGCGGGGAGGAGAAGGGAAAAAGAGAACTTTGCAGTTCTCAGGGAAGCTGCCTGGAGCATCCCCTCTCCGCGCCCGCCCCTCCCGTGGCTCTCGAACTGACTAGGGTGCAGCGGCGTCTGCTGGACTCCGGGGGCCGTGGCCAACGAGAGGCCCCGCTCCTTCGTGAGCTCATCCCGGAGCGCCGAGGTCGCGCAGAGTCTGACGTCAGGCGTGCCGCCTAGCTGTGCAGAGGTGAGTTGGTGCAGCTGGTGTTGGGGCTTGGTGGTCGTTGGGGCCGTTGCCGGCTCAGGCAGGAGGGCGGGTGAGCGAGGGTGGGCTGGAGGAGGTTTGTTCCCGGTTGCTCCGGGCCGCGGGGCGCGAGGGTGGTTTCCGTGACTTCACCTGGCTAAGCCGTGAGGTGCGGGGAGGGGAGAGGAAAGGCCTATGTAGGTGGGCATTCTTTGGTGTCCTAAGAGTGTTGCGTGCATCCGGGAGATGAGGACTGGTTTCTTTGCGGGGGAGGCCATTTCGGCTGGATAGAGGACTGTCTTAACCCAAGTTTTCCAGTATTGAGCTTCTTAGGAAGCGAGTTTCCCGTCACTGGACACTACGAGCAGAACTGGGTTCCTTTTATTTCAAGTACCATATAGTATTATGGGTTATTGGCATGTCTGAGGGCGTCCATGGAGTCGTGTGCAGGCTTTGGAAACGCTGAGCATAAGCAGTGACTTCTGCCTGGAAAAATTGGGAACTTTTTCTAAAGAGAAAAGGTGGCCAAAGAGGGCCTCTGGAGTCGCTCGATTCTGAAATTACCTGTCATGAGGTAAGATGGCAGAATAAGAGATGATGGAGGTCTTGGTAGCGTGAACTATAACTTGTATTGACCTTCTTAGGTAAACTCCCCTCAACTTCTCCAAACCTCTTTTCTTGCTAGGAGAGTGGAGCTAGCTGGAAATAAGAATGCCTCCTGAGAGAAATGTTCAGTGAGGCGGATCTGCGATATTTAAAACATACACCACCAAAATGTGCCCTTGGATAGAACAGCACACCCTGCCTTGGGAAGGGCGGCATTTTGAAAGCTGACTTCCTGCAAACCTTCCCGCTTTTTAAATTATTGTTGTTTCTCTCAAATGTGAAGCCCAGATTGATTGGAAGGGGGTGCTTCGCTGGGCAGAAGACTGTTGCCCAGGCACAGCTTACGTGACACTTGTTTCAGCCAAACTAGCTTGAGCTGGTTCCAGTCTAGGCAAGTCTTTGTTCTTGAGACATAAATCAGTAAAAAAAATACTACCTACCTGGTTACAAGCCCTTGGGCGAGGACTTTTAAGAAATCGCTGCCTGTTGGTTTTCCTGTTATTCTTGAAAAGGCTTTGTCAGCCTTTTTAGCTTACAGATTTGAAGCAGGTAACATGAACTTAGACCTGAGCTGTATGGCCTCTTAAGCTGTCTGTGAGGATTGAACTGAGAAGTGTGAACTGGATTTAGAAGAAAAATTACATCCTTATATTTCTTATGATTGAATGTTAGCATTTCCTCCCATTATACATGCATACAACAGACCACAGTGTTAGTTGTGTGATTTTTGGTATGGCTTTAGAAATCACAAGTATTTTCATGTCAGGATATTGTGATTTTTTTTGTTTGTTTTGAAACAGGGTCTTGCCTCATAACCAGGACTGGTACCTTTCAATACATCTGACAGGATATTGTTTAAGTTCACCCCCTTTTGAAATTGTGATAGTCATTCGACTTGCTGATAGTTCTTACTATATAATGTGTTAATAAAGAATCATGTGTGTTATGCTGTCAAATTTAGTTTTGGGGTTTGATAAAATTACTTTCCACATGTAGCCTAATAATCATAGATTTTCTGTTTGAAAATTCCCCTACTCAATAAAATTTGTTTGTAGTTCCAAATGCAATACTTACAAAGACAAGGTAGTCTTTGGAGGACATGTACAAGGTGTTGAATCATTTTCTTAAAAAAAAAAAACAACTTTTTTTTTAGACATGGTTTCCCTATGTACCCCCTGCTGGCCTGGAACTATGTAGACCAGGCCTTGAACTGACAGAGATCCACCTGCCCCTGTTTCCTGAGTGCTGGGATTGAAGACGTGGGCCTCCATGCCTGACCTGTGTTGAATCCTTTGAGTCACTTGATGCACAGTTCTAAGCCCACACTCTGCCTTGTTTCAGATCTCACACTGTAATAAAGTGTCTTTTTGCAGGCTTTGACCATTTGCCCATTTAGTATTTGTTTTAACTTTGTAAAACATAACTTCTGTGGATGATGAGAACATATTAGGTTTTCTTTCTAATGCTATGTATTTTGTTTAAAAACAATCAAAGAAGGGGTTTATAGGTCTTACAAATCTGCTGGGAATGTCTCTGGTGCACACAATGTATTAGGAACTTGGACTGGTAGCTTAGTTGGTAAAGGCACCTGATGCCAAGTCTGATGGCCTATGATCAGTCTCTGGGATCCACATTTTGGAAGGAGAGAACTGACTCCCACAAGTTGTCCTCTGATCTCTACATGTGTGCTGTGGTGCAAGCACATAACCACACATACATAATACATAAAAATGTAGAACAAATCGGCTGGAGAGATGGCTCAGCTGTTAAGAGCACTGACTGCTCTTGCAGAGGACCTGGGTTCGATGCCCAGCACCCACATGGTGGTTAACAACCATCTGTAGCTCCAGTTCCAGGGGATCTGACCCCTTCTTCTGACCTCCAGGGGTACTGCATGACATGAGTGCACTTACACACATGCAGGCAATACACTCCTACACATAAAATAAAAATAATAGATAAAAAATATATTAATGTAGGACAAATCTTTTTTTTAAATTTTTATTTTATGTGTAGGAGTGTATTGCCTGCATGTATGTGAGCACATCTGTGTCATGCAGTGCTGTGGAGGTCAGAAGAGGGCGTTGGATTCCCCTGGAACTGGAGTCAAGGACAGTTCGTAGCCACCATGTGGGTGCTGGGAATCGAACCTGGGTCCTCTGCAAGAGCAGTCAGTGTTCCCAACCGCTGAGCCATCTCTCCAGCTCCAGAACAAATCTTAAATATTTAAAAAATTAACAAATATGTTTAGCTAAGCTGTCTTTGAAGACTTTGATCTTTGATTGGTTTGTCTCCTGCTAACCCCTGTCTTTATTTACATATCTGTAAACTCTTAAAGGCATTTTTGGTTGAGACCATCACATGCCCCTGCATGTAAGAACATTGCTGTCTTCAGATTCCCCCATGTTTGCCTGCTGAGTTGAATAAAATTTAAAATGAAGAAGGCCTATGTTTTGTCTCTGAAGAGAGGCAAGAAATGTACTGGTCATCTCTGCAGTCAGACTTGGGGAAAAGAATCCATGGGATTAAGACAACTTATTGAGTCCCTAGGAGAAAGAAGGTGTCAGAACAGCCCCATAACAAAGGGTTACCTTTGCGGAGAGGAACTCTGTAGCCTCCTGTGCTGATGGCATCTTACTGAAACCCTGGTATTGTTTCCACAGAGCTGTCTGATCTTTAGCCCTTCATCCTTGATTAAGGAAATGACCAACCAGGTAAGGCCTGCATTGAGAGAAGGAACATTAGTTGGTCACTGGATTGCCTGGGTATGTGGTTTAATTCTTGCTCTGTTCTTAAAGAGCTAGGTGACTCTAGGCACCTAGTCACCACAGGGTTAGGTGGTACTAGTAGAACACACTGCACTGAGAGCAGGTTTAGTAGGAAAAATAAAGTCAGAATAGGGTCCCAAAGAATCAAACATCTTTAAGATTAGCAACAAAGATAATAATACATATGTGGGCTATGCAGTCTTATACAACTGCAAAATTAGGCTGCAAACAACTCAGTTTCCTCATAATCACAAAGAAATTCATTGGTCTTCTAATGGGTTAGGAAGATTTTTGTTTGTTTTTGTTGCTTTTTTTTTAAGCTAGGTATGGTGGTGCACACCTGTAGTCCCAACACTGAGGAAACTGAGGCAGGAAGATTGCTGCAAGTCTAAGGCAAGCCTTGGCTACATAATGAGTTTGAGGACAACCTGGGCTACCCAGCAAGACCTTGTCAAAAAAGCGGTGATTTTTCTCTGGTATGAGAAAAATCTGGTGTAGAATGAACAGGGCAACAGTAGAGGGAGTAATTGACACTGCACTGACTGTCTCAGAGTTCTTGAGGGAGGGATGCAGGGTAACTGAAATCTAACCACCAGTTTAATGTGGCTTCTGTTCTTTTGTAGTACAGTATTCTGTTCAAGCAAGAGCAAGGTAAGGAGCCTGCCTGATCAAGCAAATTCTTTTGTGAAAAAACTGTTGTCCCTGGTTTCATTAAGATTTTGTCATGTTAGACATGCAGACCCCAGATGCACTCACTTTGCGGAATTGGCCATGGCAGCTGAAAACAAGTACACTTACTAACACAATGGCAAAGAACTCTGTCAGGCCCAAGGGAGAAGGCCTGTAATCTCAGATACTTAGGAGGTTGATACAGGATGATCGAAAATTCAGGGCTGCCTGGGCAATATACTAAGACTTTGTTTCAAAATAAAAGGTAAAAAGGGCTGAGGATATAGCTTGGTGGTAAAGTACTTACCTAGATGCACAAGGCCCCAAGTTCAATGCCCAGTACCACAAAAGATTTAAAAAAAAAAAAAAAAAACCTAAGAAGATAGGCGTGGTGGTATATGCCTTTAATCCTAGGACTCGGGAGGCAGAGACAGATGGATCTCTGTGAGTTCGAGGCCAGCCTGGTCTGCATAGTGAGTACTAGGCAGCCAGGGCTAAATAATGAGATGGGGGGCGGGGGAGGGTCAATATAATGAAGAACTCTAGGCTAAAGAAAACTCTTCTACCTAAGAAAGATGTAGTGTGGCGTTTCCTAGCTGCCAGGATGGAAGAAGGAAATGCTTTGAGACTCAGAATCCTTTTGCTGTCCAGATAATCCTGACTTCTCCAAAGAATAGGTAAGATAGAGAAAACCTTGGGAGTTTGTGGGAGCTGTCTTATGAAAGCCCTTCCACTCCAAATCAGGGGCATTTAGGTAGCCTGAAGCTATACCAAAAGCATTCCTCCTAGTTAACTAGTGGTAAGCTTTTCAGATGGGCCAGTCAACAGCTTTGCATGAAGCTGACTTCATCCAGGTGACGGGCTTAGCAGGCTGGAATCTGGTGAGGATTATAAGGAAGCTGTGATGTTACATATAAGTTAAATGGCTTTATATTCCTGTTTTAGAAAGATATCCCTGGAGAATTGCAGGCATGTGTAGATAAAGCTTCTGTGTGTTCTTGTCTCATTTAATGCATGCACATCAGCTCTGAAGACCCTACAATATGGCTCACCAGATAGGCAGCTTGAAGACTTAGATTGAAAGTAGACTTCAGTTAATGTGTTAGGTTTGAATTCTAGCTCTGCCCCTTCTTAGGTTCATGTCTTTGGGAGGGCTTTTAGGCATCTCCAAGCCTCTAATTCCTTATTTGTGAAATAGAATGGTCTTTGGGGGTCTGTTTTTCAGTACTAGGGATCAACTCCAGTGCCTTGCTCATGCTAGACAAGTACTGTACCATTGAGGTATATCCTTGGCCTTTTTATTTTTTTCAATATTTGTTTTGTTTTATGTGTTTGAGTGTCTTAACCTGCATGTATATAAGTGCACTGTGTCATGCAATACTGGTAGAGATCAGAAGAGGGTGTCGGATCCCCTGGAACTGGAATTACTAATGGTTGTTAGCTGCCATGTGAGTGCTGGGATTTGGACCCAGGTCCTCTGCAAGAGTAGTCAGTACCCTTAACCACTGAGCCATCTCTCCAGCCCCAGGCCTTGGTTTTTTAAGAAAAGATTTTACTTGTATCCCAGATTGGCCTTGAACTCATACAGTTTCTAGGCTAGCCTCATGATCCTCTTACCTCTGTTCCCAGGTGCTACAATTACAGTACCTGGCAAGTGTGATATTGATAGGACTAAGGTGGTTGTGGTAGAAACAACACTTAGGAAAGGATAAATGTAATAACTGATCCATGACACATAGTGAAAGCATTTATGGTAAAAGGTATCTCATCTATTTTTAGACCAGCACTGTTCATAGTTGAAGTGCTTACTGCTTTCCAAAGAGCTCTGAGTTGTAGCTCAAATCAAGTTTAGGACTCTTGGCAGGGGAGATTGCCTAATAGTTTACTCATTTTAGTCAGCTGATCACTACACCCAGTGTGCTGTCTGATGAATAGCATGCTAATGGGTCAGTCATTGAGTTTGAGTCTGAAGACCTGGATTATTCTGGTTTCTGCTTCCCTACCTGGTAATCTTGTTTTAGAGCAAGTGGCTTCTTTAGAACCTCTAGTTTCATTTTCATACATGCCCATAAAATCCAGTAAAAGCTTTATGGGGAAGTATCCTGTGGAACGGTGGCAGGGGTTGGGGTCTGGGTGGACATTACTTCGGATTGCTGGATAATGTTTCAGCTTCGTTTTATCACGGAGTGAGAAGTTGTATGCACAACGGAAACTAAATGAAGCACTTTCCATTCTAGCCCATGATGATGCCATTTGGTCAGTTGCCTGGGGAACAAACAAGAAGGAGAACTCTGAAACAGTGGTCACAGGATCCCTGGATGACCTGGTGAAGGTCTGGAAATGGTGAGCCCTTCTCCCAGTACATAGCCTTGGAAGTTTGGGCTAAGGGCTTTCTTCTGGGCTTCCAGATTGCTGTCAGGGTAACATAGATTTTTCTGGGTGAGAAAGCAGTAGCAACATGATATTTTTAAAAGAGCTTATTTTTTGCTTGTTTTTTTGTTTCCCCATTATTTGGTATTAAATCTGGTTTTGTTTTTGTTTTTTTTTAAAAAAGCAGCATTTAGTGTTTGGTTCCCATAGACCATCATAATGTATAGCCCCAAGGACATAAGTCCTGATGCTGGGTACAGTATCTTGTGTGTGAAGGAATTATTTCTCTGTCCCCCATTGAAGGCGTGATGACAGGCTGGACCTACAGTGGAGCCTGGAGGGACACCAGCTGGGGGTGGTGTCTGTGGACATCAGCCATACTCTACCCATTGCTGCATCCAGCTCTCTTGATGCTCATATTCGTCTCTGGGACTTGGAAAACGGCAAACAGATAAAGTCTATAGATGCAGGACCTGGTAAGAATTCTATATTTAGGGGAGGAGATAGAGGCTCACAATCCCTTTTCAAACCCTTAGGGATAGAGTAAGTTTACAATTCGGAACTGTAATCTACCTAATCAAACCCTAATACCAGTGTAACCAGACATGAGTATTTGTACTAAGTGAGTTAAGCACAGACTAAAAACTGCTTAAATTAGTTCAAGTTTCACTGCCAAATGAATTGTGCTACAAACATGGGAGAGGGGATGGGAAATCAGTCTTAAGGACATTTTGGACTTCAGAATTGCCAGTTTGGCAATGTAGACCTGTGTTGGTTGGTTCTGTGGTTCTGTTTTTGCTGCATTCTGAACTGATGCATTTGCTGCCTTATGGAAACCTGGAACATAGAGCACTATCCTCATAGGTCTGAATTGTGGTTATTTCTACTAATTATGGTTTAGGTGTCTGGTTCCTAGTAGGTGGTAGATATGAAGAAATAAATCCATTGGTTTTTTTTTTTTGTTTTTTTTTTTTTTAAAGTCCTGTAGGACAGTGCAGTCTTGCTCCTCAGCATCATTGGACATGACACTCTGAGACAGCAATGGTTGAGTTTGGTGGGCTAGATGAATGTAGTACAGACAGCATGACATTTCAGTAGTCATCTTTCTAGTCCGGAAAACATTAATCTTGAAGAAAGTGAAAAATAGGAGAAAGCAAAGCTAGAGGAGATGAGCCACGATTGGCACTCCACCAGGCTATAGCTTTCCAGTAGCTGACACTGAGAAGACCCAAGGTGTGGTAGTCCTCCACATCAGACATTCAGGATGCCCACAGCAAAGGAAAAGGAACTCTCAATGAGGAGGAGGAGGAGCTTAGTAATTGAAATAAACATTTACCCTGGAAGTATTAAAGTTAAATCTGAGCACATGGTTTCACTGATAGAGAAAATTGTTCCTGTCATGTGCCTGAAGACATTTGGTAGTAAAGGGTCTACATTGCAAAGCCGTTAAAGGGATGTGTAAAAATAATTTTGAAGAATTGCTTTATTAAGCTTTGAGAAATAAAAATTAGATTTTCTACTAGCCATTTTCCTGGTGAATAGCTAATTATAATAGGTTTTTGTTTTTTTAATTCCTTTCTGGGCCTGACTCTCAGGTATAGTATATGGGCATGGGGAGAACCGGTGATGAAGTCTCGCTTAGGCTCTTCCTCCTTCAGTAATTACTCCCACATATGGGAGGCGAAAAAAGAAAACAATCTTGTTAGAATAAATGCCCCTGTCATTTAAAATTAAATATAGGTACTAAAAAGCAGTTGAGGGATGGGGAGATGACTCACTAGGTAAAAACACTTGCCACGCAAGCATGAGGACCTGTGTTCAAATCCTCAGAACCCACATAAAAGCCAGATACACAGCGTGAGTGACTAATCCCAGTGCTTCTTCAGGGAGATGGGAGGCAGAGATAGGAATCCCTGGAAGCTTTCGGGCGGCCTGCCTGGCATATGTACATGGTGGTGACACCACCGTGTCTCAAGGTTAAAAGTGAGGACTGACACCAAGATTGTCCTCTTATCTCCACACAACATCCTGTGACATGCATATACCTGGACTCATATACAAAAATGCATGTGTACAAATACACCAAAAAAGGTAAAAAGCAGTTGAGTTGATGATAAAAGCCATTTCAAGTTGTCCTGGTTGAGAACTTTTAAAGTAAATTTGTTTTTGATTTTGAAATAAACATTTCATAAGTGATCAAATTAAATGATTTCTTAATTGTGTGTGTATGTAAGCATTTCATAAGTAAAGTGATCAAATTAAACAACTTTAATTGTGTGTGTGTGTGTGTGTGTGTGTCTGTGTGTGTGTGTGTATGCGTGTGCATGTTCCAGCACACACCTACTACAGTGTACATGTGCAAACAACTTTAATTGTGTGTGTGTGTGTGTGTGAGAGAGAGAGAGAGAGAGAGCATTCTTTCAAGATAATCTTATTTTTCAAAATAAAACACCAAGGATGAGATGATGGCCCATCTGCTCAAGCTCCTGTCTTCTGTGGGTCAAGCTCACAGAGGGCCTGTCTCCCCTCCTTTGCTGTTTCATGGGCTAATAAGGCTAGGCTGAGAGCTGGAGAGATAGCACAGCCATTAAAAACGAAGGCTAACAACCAGAACATTAAGAAGGCCAGGCAAGAGGCACAGTAGCCACCTCCCTGAGTTATGCCCCAGAAATGAAGACTGTGACTAAGGAAAGAGCCTGTTTCTTCAGGAGCTCTGCTGTGGGGCTGGGGCAGGACTTGAGGATGGTTCCTCTAAAAGACTGGGCTTTGGAAAAGTGACCTAGGCATGCCATGAAAGTAGATTATTCCTGGCCCAGTCCCCAAAGCTGCTAGGATTCCCTCTGAAAGGTAGGCCCCCAGATAGTTGAGAAAAATTCTAAAATGCCATCAGCAATCCAGAAAATACACTAACATTTGCATGCCTAGGCTGCATATGAGTCAAGACATTCAGTCTATGTGGCTATCCAGAGTACTATGCTGCTTAGAGCTATCATTGAACTCCTAAGTCAACTGAGATGTATAGTGTGGCTTTAGAACTGTTTTTTTTAAAAAAGGGATTCTTCATTGCCTGTGAATTTGTAGTATATATTTTGTCTTTTATTTTTGGCAATCTTCACTTATAGCGTAATTTAGGTAAAATTTCAGCTGTGTAATTATACTGAAATAGGCCATTTTAAATGTGTGATTGCCCATCCCTGCAGTTGGGCAGTTATGGAGCCTCCCTGTCTGGAGGTGTTTCCTCATGTCCACTTAACACTTAGTCCTGCCCCACCATCATCCTCAGGCAACTTCTATACTGATTTCTTCCTCTAGTTTGCCCATGTAAGTGGGATTCTGTGGTCTTACACACTCATTATTTCCACGTACTCTCTTGTAAGGATGCACTGCATTTTGTTTACCAGTTGATAGTCATTTGAGCTGTTTATGAATAAAGCTGCTGTGAAGATGAGTGCATAAATCTTTGAGCAGACATGTTTTTGTTTCTCTTGAGTAGCTACCAGGAGTGGCATTCCTGAGTGCTATGGTGTTTGTTTTCACCTAAGAAACAGAAACTGGTTTTCAGAGTGGCTGTCACATTTTACATTGCCACCAGAGTATGAAGGCTCTAATGTCTCCATGTCTCTGTTAGCTCTTGGTATTGTTCTGCCTATTTTGCTAAAAATTTAAGACTCCTTGAAATTAAATTTAAACTTGGTTAAAGACTTCATATCTTTATGACATAGTTTCCTCAATCAGGACACTTTCTCTAGATTTAAAAAATATATCACTTGGAGCTGGAGAGATGGCTCAGCAGTTAAGAATACTACTGACGATTCTTGCAGAAGACCCAGGTTCGAATCCCAGCACCCACATGGCAGCTAACAACTGTCTATAACTCCAGTTCCAAGGAATCCGACAGCCTCTTCTGTCCTCTGCAGGCATTGCACAACATGGGTGCACTTACCTATATACAGGCAATACACACATACACATAAACCCATCTTTAAAAAAAAGATTTTATCACTTGATAAAACTGTAGCCTTTAAATTAAGGTCAGATCTTCTCTCACTGCATTGTTTTCCTTCTGTTTTCTCTCCAGTGGATGCCTGGACTCTGGCCTTTTCTCCTGATTCCCAGTATCTGGCCACAGGAACTCATGTGGGGAAAGTGAATATTTTTGGTGTGGAAAGTGGGAAAAAAGAATATTCTTTGGACACGAGAGGAAAATTCATTCTTAGTATTGCATATGTAAGGAAACCTCACTCTTCCTTTTCTGATGCTTTTTAGCTTGTGGTCAGCGCAGATCCTGCAGTGCTCATGGCAGGCAGCTGCCATCTGATGCTGTGGTTCTGAAGCCAGCAGGACCGCTTGTGTTCAGAAGTGGTAGATTAACCACAGAGTCCCCAATCACCCTTGTCTCCTCGTGTCCTCTGAACAGAGTCCTGATGGGAAGTACCTGGCCAGCGGAGCCATAGATGGAATCATCAATATTTTTGATATTGCAACTGGAAAACTTCTGCACACGCTGGAAGGTAGGCACAACTCTTCTTGTTTGGTGTCCACTGGATTATCAGGTCCCTAATTAAAATGCCAGTGCAAAGTATGTTACGCTCAATTGGAAAACTCAAGTGCTCTATGTCTTAGACGTAGCACTGTGGTTTTATCCTGGACACATTAGTTCTTCTAACAGTGCTAAATTCTTTTTTAGTGAATTAGCTTACTTTTTTATGTGTTAATAACCTGCAGCCATAAGATTGTCTGTCTTCTCTATATATTTTTAATTTCTAAAGAACTTTATGATTAGAAGGCAGCTCCCTTTTTTGGGTGCTCATTTGATGGCAGATGAAAACACTGCCCACTCACACTGGGGGCCTGGGGAGGACGACTAGACAAAGAGACTATTAGTATTCTTGTGTATGATTTTGAATTCTAAGTCAAAGTATTTTCTCTTCAGTTTACCTTTTACTTTACAGCAAAAGATATGGTAGAACAATAGCATGTTATTAGTCCAAACTTACAAATCAGAAGCAGCTCATCTTTCCACATTTGGCCATATTTGTAAAGCAGTTTTTTCTAAGCAATGTATATTGAGGCCCAGCTGATTAGCGAGGGGAACTAAGGAGAAATGTCTCCAGGAAAGAGGTGGGGTTATGTGGGAGTGGGAGGAAGGGTCCAGTCAGTCCTCTCACTGAAGCACCAGGGCCAGCGCAGCTCAGTGACTTGTGGTCATTAAAAGGGCGTGTGGTTAGTGGGAGGCTTGTGGGGAGGCAGAGCCAGCCCAGTTAACAAGCTCTTCTGGATTTCAGGCCATGCTATGCCCATTCGCTCCTTGACCTTTTCCCCAGACTCCCAGCTCCTAGTCACAGCTTCAGATGATGGCTACATCAAGATCTACGATGTGTGAGTTGCCTTCTCAAGAGTTAACTATCTCAGCACCAGTAGCCACTTTGTCACCTTACTATTAAGATCAGCTCTAGGGAACATGCTGCCCAGTCTCAGTCCTAGCAGGCATAACACTCAGGTCTGCTCCAATGCTCAGGTCTCCCCAGTCATTCCTCTCCCAGCTGCCCCCTTGTATTGGAGCTTAGCGTGTATCTTCAAGGTCTGTGTGGAGACAAATGTGCAGTCCCTGGTAGGATTAGGTACTGCTTTTTCTCAGGCATCCAGGTGGTTTTGGCTCACTGATACAAAGTTCTTTGGAGTAGGTACATAGTATATAGTTTAGGAAGTGGAGTTCTGGGCTGTAGGTGACCTAAAATGACAGTAAAAACCAAGAGCATCCCTCCTAGGGGTCAGGCTAGGCTGTTCATCAGATATACGTGCCGGGCCTCAGTTAGAGGGTCAGCAGTTGGTAAGCCACCCTTCAGGTCTAGTAGGGAGCCTGTCCAGGTATGACCTGGACTAACAGTATAGGAGTGAGCTGGTCACTGTTGCATCCCTGGCTCTGCCATTAAGAGTTTGTGTTGAAGAACCAGGCATAGTGGTGCAGGCCTTAGTCCCAGCACACAGCACTTGGGAGGCAGAGGCAGGCAGATCTCTGTGAGCTCAAGGCCAGCCTGGTCTACATAGTGAGTTCAGGCCAGCTGGGGCTACAGGGAGACCCTGTCTCAAAAAAAAAAAAAAAAAAAAAAAAAGTTTGTGCTGAGTCCCCTTTTCTTTATGTTTTTTCCCAACATTCTCATTCCCCATTCCTATTCCCCCTGGTATAGGCCTGATGTTGTCGAGTGATATTTGTCATTGGTACCAATGTGCTGCTGGTTCATGTCTCCCCAGTGTGACTTTATAATCCATTGCATATATCTCTTTATTTTTTTTTTCTTTTCCTTTGCTCTCTTTGAGACAAGGTCTCCCTGTAGCCCCAGCTGGCCTAGAACTCACTGTGTTAGACCAGGCTGGCCTCGAACTCACAGAGATCTGCCTGCCTCTGCCTCCCAAGTGCTGGGATTAAAGGCGTGCGCCACCATGCCCGGCCTTTTTTTTTTTTTAAAAAATCTTTTTGAAGCAGGGTCTCCCTGTAGCCCCAGCTGGCCTGGAACTCACTATGTAGACCAGGCTGGCCTTGAACTCACAGAGATCCGCCTGCCTCTGCCTCCCGAGTGCTGGTATTAAAGGCATGCACCACCACGCCTGGCTTGCATATATTTTTCATACCTGCGTGTACCTTGTCTCTGACCATCTGTGTACTTATCCTTTTATGGGCCTCGGTGAGCTGTGTGAGAGTTTAAAACTTGGGAGTAGTAACACTGTTCCTTCCAGTATCTTCTGGAAGCTTTTAGATGGCAAGTAGTTAATTAGAAAGACACGTAGCTTTTGACTTTAGCAATGAGTGAGGCTGTTGGGTTCCAGAGGAGAGGATACCTCTTTAAAGTTGTGTGTGCTTGTTAGTAGCAGAGCCAGCATAAATAGTAATAATTCTTGGAGTATCTTCCTTTGATTTTCACTGCCACTATTTTTTGACCCCCCAAAACTGTTAAGGTAGCAGCATAACTTAGTGTCCCCACTTTGCATAAGAGGAACCCAAGCTGAGGTGGTGATTGGCTCAGTGGTACTGAATGAATTCAGGATTTCTTACCCTCTTAAGGACCTACTGCATACTACATCGTGTGTGTGTGTGTACCACGTGTGCCTGGTGCCTGTGGAGGCCAGAAGAAGGCATTGGATCCCCTGGGACCAGACTTAGAGATGGTTGTAAGCTGCCATGTGGGTACTGGGAACTGGACCTGGGTCTTCTGTAAGAACAGCCAGTGTTCTTAACCCCGAGCCATCTCTCCAGCCTGTTTTCCTGTTTTAAAAATGAAAATCACTGTAGGAATTAGGCTGCCTTGTTCTTGATGTGGTTGTAAATAGCGGGTCTCAGCCACATGTCATAGAGTACATCTTTCAGTTTCCTTACACTGTGGGAAAAGGTGCTGATGCAGGTGGGGTCCAGCTGGCCTGCTCACCTCTACTGCTTCCGTTTCCTCATCTTTAGTTGGCGTCTTTATTTTGAGCTCTTGAGCTCTTTGCTTGTTAGGGATCTTATTCTTGGCTCTTGATGTCCACACATTTGAATGCTGCTATAAAAATTTGTCTCTGTGATGTTTGATGCCACTTCACGGAAAAGGAATTTTACTTAGTCACTGTAACAATATGAGACCCACTTGTGTGTGGAGCTACTGCACTTCCCAGTTCAGCAGTTCTATCCCACATTAACATCTCCATTTTGTTTGGCCCTTTCCCATTTCAGACAACATGCCAACTTGGCAGGCACACTAAGTGGCCACGCCTCCTGGGTGCTCAACGTTGCATTCTGCCCTGACGACACTCACTTTGTCTCCAGGTACTTATGACTCAAATTTCTAGAATGCTTGGCAGATGAGGATGGGATTTTGGCATGATTTGCCTTAAAATTTAAAGACTGCTTGACTTTTTAAAATTTGGGTTTCCTTTAAGGGTTTCTACAAATTTAAGGAATAAAGTTGGTTGTTCTTAGCTGGATCAAAGATAAATCCTTTTGAATTATTAAAAATCTTTAGAATTTTCTTAGCTGGGCCTGGTGGTACACACCTTTGATCCTGTACTTGGGAGGCAGAGGCAGGCAGATCTCTGTGAGATAGCCTCATAGCCTCATCTATGTAGAGTGTTCCAGACCAGCTGATGCTACAGGGAGACCCTGTCTCAGAAAAAAAGCCATATTGGGGCTGGATAGTTAAGAACACTGAATGTTCTTGAAGCGGTTCAGAACACTGAATGTTCTTGAAGAAGACGGGGTTTCAAATCCCAGCACGCACATGGCAGCTAACTGTCTGTAACTCCAGTTCCAGGGGATCCGATGCCCTCTTCTGACCTCTGCGGGTATTGCACATGGGTGCACTTTCGTACACACAAGCAATACACTCATAAAATTTTTAAAAAATATATTTTTTTAAAAAAAGCAATCTTATAATTTTCTTAAAAGTGTGGGCTTCCATGTAGTTACTCTGAAATATACCTGTTTGAAGAGGAACTTGAAATCTCAATCTGAGGCTGGGTGTGGTGGCGGGCCTTTAATCCCAGCACTTGGCAGTGGCAGGTGGATCTCTGTGAGTTCAAGGCCAGCCTGGACTACATAGTTCCAGGCCAGCTGGGGCTACAAGGAGACCTTGTATCAAAAGATTAAAAAAAAAAATTCTAAATTTGCTTATAGAATGTGCTTGTTCAGACCCAGGGAGGCAACAGTGATTAAGTGTGGGATGGGCAGCTGAAGGGTGTTATAGTGGCCTCTGAGCTTCAGCAGGCTCCCACACATCCAGAAATGGTTAGATAGTCCCAAGACTCCTGTTGACATCAGTGGGCAGGAGGGTCAAGTTGTTGAGACTCCCAGGAGAATGGCTGCCTTGGGAGGGGGAGAGCCACCTGGTGATGCCTATACCCCAGCCATGCTCTGCACCATGGGGGCCTCTATAGATAGAAGAGTATAAGTCTGTGAAGGAGTGTGGGTCTGGGGTCAGTGTTCTGATATTGACATTCACTTTCTCAAACAGTTCATCTGACAAAAGTGTCAAAGTTTGGGATGTTGGAACAAGGACCTGTATTCACACCTTCTTTGATCACCAAGATCAGGTATGGAATAACCAGCATTTAAATTCCTTTGTCCTTAGCTCACTGGCCAGCTTACTTTTCCTAGCCTTTCTGTTGTAGTTAAGATTGGTGCAGTTCTCCTGAGATGAGTTATTGGCCTAGTGACTGTGAGGCATGTCCCCTACACAGGCCAGAATACAAGGCTAGCCACACCCCGTTTTGAAGTTACGAAGCCTGGCCTGGGAGAGTCCATTGTAACACAATCATCACTGTATCATTTGGGGAATTGTCCAAAGAAGAGATGTGATTTTTTTTTTATATCTATATAGTAGAAGCTGAAAATTATTTTTTGTTTGTTGTTGAGATGGGCGTTTCACTGTGTAGACCAGGCTGATATCCAACTCACAGACTTACCTGCCTGCCTCTATCTCCATAGTGCTGGGATATAGATGTGCGCCACCATGCCCAGAAGTTGGGAATTCTTATGCTATCTGATTTTAATTAGAGTGCTAACAGTTTCTGTCTTTAAAAGGAGACTGTATCTTTAATAAGGTGAATATGAACTGCTAAGGTATTTTAGATCCTTCTTAGTCCTTAAAGTTCCCATGAGTCCCTGGGAAATCTTAGAATGCTGCTTCTTAGCTAAGTGCATGACTGTAATCCCAGTACTCTGAAGGCTAAGGCAGAAGCAACAGTTTGAAGCCCAGCAAGGAATGGTGTCTTCACCCCTGTAGTCCCAGTACTTGGAAGGAGGTCTTGAGTTGCCTTGAGTTCTGGGCCAACCTGGGCTTACAGAGTGAGATCCTGTCTCAAAACAACAAAAAAGACAAGAGAAAATAAAAACATTTGAGGCCAGCCTGGACAACTTAATGAGAACCTGATTGTAAATAAAAATAAAAGGGCTGGGGATATAGCTCAGTGGCATACTTGCCTAGCATGCTAGGTTTGTTCCCCAGCACAGAAAAATAGTGGATTCTGATTCGGTAGGCCCTACATAGGCCTTAAATGGCCTTTCCTTCCTTCCTTCCTTCCTTCCTTCCTTCCTTGTCTACACGAAGGTATTTTTTTTTTTTTTCCCCAAATATAGTGTCTTACACTATACCCCAGGCTAGCTTTGAACTCTCAGTAGTCCTCCTTCCTTGACCTGGGTTATAGGGTGTGAACTACCATACCCAGCTCTGAGTCTGCTTTTTCAACAATCTAGATCATTATTGCTGGTCCCATCCACTCTGAGTAACAAGGATCTAGGGGAACTAGTCAACATAAATAAAATGTTCAGAGCAACAAAAATTGGCTTTTAATGTATTTTGAATGCTTTTTAGAGGGCTTATATACTTCTTTTGAACTATTTAAGGTTAACTGTCCAAACTGCTTTACATTTAATCTTAAATTGTTGCAGTAAAGTTGGGAGATGGGTTGAATCTTGATAATCCACTATTGGCTTTAAACTTCACTCTTGGTAAGTCCTAGCTGTGTTACCTGTTGAGTGAGATCATTGTGATGGTGTCTCAGATGTTTGGAGTGGAAGTAAGGCTGTAGTGTGGCCTGCTCACCACCCCTCTGAAGGTGAGGGTGACAGCCTGCCCACACAGAATTCCTAGTAGTCACAAAGTTAACTCCATCAAATCAGTTCTAAGAGGGAAGTGTGAAGCTGCTGATTGAACACACAGCCACGAAAGTCAGTGGCGCTCAATCTCATATTGTCTGCTCTGGCCTCTGATAACCAGGGGGGTTGGGGGAGGGCAGTTTGCAGTTTTTCCTGTAGGCAGTGACCTTGTGGGGTGGCAGGCTTTTCCTCCTGGAAGCACAGTGCCAGTCCCAGGCAAGATCCACTTCATGGCATTAGGTTACCCCTGGGTTCTGAATCTTTCAAATGGTTGTAGATTATCTTATTTTAGGGGAAATGTAGAGTATGGGAAGAGAAGGGAATGCTAATTCCACAGCAGCCAGAGGGAGGAACCAGGGTTCAAGAATAGGCTCCGCCCTCACTGGCATGTCAGGGTCAAGATTTAGCAGAAGAATGCTGGTTTCTTAAACATTCTTTACACAGCATACTGGCATTAGAACTTTTTCTCTTTTTTTAATTTACAGGTTTGGGGAGTAAAATATAATGGAAATGGCTCAAAAATTGTGTCTGTTGGAGATGACCAGGAAATTCACGTCTATGATTGCCCAGTTTAAACATCAGCATCTTCAGGGCCAGTGCCGCAGAGAATGTACAGGTCAATAAGAACATTCCTTACCTTTTTAAGTAGTTAAATACAGCATATATTGTAACAAAGACTTAAATTTTGTAGATATGATATAAAATTTTTCCTGTTTTACTGGAAATGCTGTTCATACTTTAATGTAAATAGAGCATTCCTAATGTAAACACACCTGCATTTTCAATCATACTGGTTTTTAGGTTGACCCTGTGCCTGGAGAAATGAGGGGAACTGGCATTGCTAAGTGCAAGCGAATACCTGAGAGAGTAGACATCCTGCTCTTCCTGGGTAGAAAGGCAGGCCCCATCCTGGAGTGACTCGTGTGGTGCCCTGAGCTGCACAGCACCATCCTTCAGAATAGAATTCTGAAGAAGACAGGCTCAATGGATGGGAACCTTGTATCAGTTCTACCTGGGGAGCCTTCTGTTTGATATATTTCAAATGCCCCCTCTGCTATACCCTTCTTTTTCCCATTCAGATAGGCATTCATCCCCAAAGAGTAAGCTCCTGAGAGGAGAAAGTTCATTCCTTTTGTCAAACAGTGTGCGACAAGCTGGCCCTTAACACTGTTGAGTGCTCAAGAAAAGGGAAAGCACAACCATCCTCATACCGGCTCAGTTTTAATCAAGTGACAAATGTACAAGTGGGAAAAATTTTAAGCAACACCCTCCAGATTTCACTTACATAACAGAGGAGCTGTATATAGTTTCGTTCCATCACCAGTGGTTCTCTAGCAGTAATTTATTAGTAAGTCACAGCACAGAAACAACACCCTGGAGTTGTGGTCCATTTATAAATTGGTTTCACATAGGCATAGCTGGAAGAATCAGTGTTAGGTCTATCCTGGCCAATGGTCAAAGTGGACATAGGTGGACTCTTTCTGTACTTTGAGCAAATTATGTTCTACAATATTCTTGGGGCGCCTGGTCCAGCCAGCGGGCTTGCCCCATCAGCCTTGGGTTTGATCTGCTCTTATGCAGACCCTTTGACCCTCTTATGGGGGTTCCTGGTCCGAGTCAAACTCTCAGATACCATAAAAAAATCAAATAAGGGTAGATCTGACAGGTTAACCCAGCAGCTTAAAAGGCAAGGATTTTTAAACTTCGTTTGTGGAAAAGAAATGAGAAGTAATGGCTAAAGTTGAGGTAACCTTAGCTCAAAGTGCAGCCTAGCCTACCTTCCAGGAATAAAGTAATAACTAATATCCATTCAGGGGTATCATTGTAAGTGAGAGTCCATGCTAGTAGCACTTGGTTAGTTCAGTTCTCAACAAACATCACCTGAGCAGGAAGCCCTTTGCAGTATGGCTATGCAGTGAGAGGAACAGGCCTTTGGGAAGGAGCTGAATCTGGGAGAATGAGGTGGAAAATATTGAGGGGTTCTATGCCACTCAGACCTTCAAGTCATCCAGAGATGCTGAGCTAGCTGCGCCAAGGCCCAGACCACCAACACTCTCCCTTGGGTGCTGCTGCTGCTGCACTGAGGCTGCCAGGGCCATGGAAGTGTTTAGCCGCCTTTAGGGTTAGCACTTTGGTGGGAGAGCACTGCAAAAGTTGTCAACAGATAATCATTAAAACCACAAAGAACAAGATGTGGGGTTACAAACAAATGGCTTTATCAGCTTATCATTTAAAACACTGGTTTGTCTTCACCACAGGGCTTGGAAACTTCAGAAAACTTCTGAGAGAGATAGATAGTCAGATGAACCCCTTTCCAACCAAAGGGACAGAACAGTAGGAGCCAGGCTTCTTGAAGAATGCAGTCCACTCAATGTGAACCAGGCATGTTGGGCCAAATCTGGTCCACATGTGTGCTTTTATTATTTAAGAAGTTCTTCTAGAATCTAGATTCATAAATGTCATTAGCAGCCTGAGCCCATGCCCTCAGTGACTCTGCCAGGGGAGGGAGGGGGAGAAACTACAGACTAGAGATGGGCCAGCACACTGACCTTCTGTCTTCATGTTTGTTAGGGGCTAGGTGTCACTCTCCTGGCCTGGCTTTCCTGTGGAAGTGAACGATGGCAAAGCCACTAGAAACACGAAGTGTCAGTGTGGTACTGGCATCTCCAAAGTATGTCCTGGATGTACAAATGAACAGATTCCATATGCAGACTAGAGGTGATTGAAGTTAAAACATTTACATATAAATCAAGCTATAACTTAAATTACAACCAGAAGAGAAACAAGAAAACCCAGAAGACACTCAGCAGTGGACACTGCTGAACACATACACAGGACACCCAAACATGAGCCTATTAAAGTGATACCATTTTCATTCTGCCAAGTTTACATTCATCATGTAGTAGTCCAACCAGGTCATGCTGCACATGCCCTCATGCTGTCTGGCACTGCACACCGGTACGGGGCCCGTCGTCATCTTCCTCATAGGCCTCCCTGTGCTGGCGCCAGTTCTGTTCGTTGGGATTGAAATCCTTCAGCTCCACCTGATCCATGTCATCTGTGATCCTCACCTTCTGCCGAGGAGGGAGCAAAGCCTCGAGCTGAGGAAGCTTCTCCTGAGACAGCCAGTGATTTTCAGGGAAGACTACCTGCAGGGGTGAGCACAGAGGGAGATGGACTTTCTGGAACCCCATCTGGGTTTCTTTCATTAAGGTAGTTCATGGTATGTCTCAAGAGAAAAAACATCACACTTACTAAAAACTGTATGATCAGCATCCCCTTCTCCATGGGGGCTTTGTAGATGGGCAATCCTTCATTGCGCACACATTTCAGGTCCCCATGCTTTATCACCTCACCTGCCACAAAGAAGGTTCTGTTAAGAAACAGGAAGATCAAGGGGGCCTTGAGAGCTTAGTCTCTCTCTAGGGAGAGCCAGAGTGGGCCCTAGGTGCTCTGAGTGATGGGTATCCTGCTGGGCCCTGAGCAAGGACCAGAATAGGACTCTGACCCATGTCAAGGAGGCAGCACACTGGGACTTCTATCATAACGCAGAATGGTTTAAAACAAGGGAACTCTCAGTCAGAACACTCTACCTGGTCTGCAATGGGGCCAGTACCTGTGAGCCTGCCTCTTCAGATAGTTATGAGTGTCCCTACCTTAATCGTGGTGATAAGGCAGAGCTTAGGGCAGGAAAGGACTTCACGGGAGCTTCCCAGCTCCCTGCTCAGGTAACAGCTAGCTTCCTGAGGAGGCGGCTCCCAGGTGGCGCCAGACAGTCCCTTTCTGGTTACAAAGCACTTGTTCTACCTTGGTCATGAGCTGGGATGCAAGCTCTGGCTTGTCCATGTTGGCAAGACCTCTAAAGGTACCATAGGAGGTCAGGACCTGGGGCACTAAGCCTGTCTTCCAGGGCTAAAAATATTTTTTTTTTTCTAGGTGTGGAAGAGATACGGGACCAAAGGGTGTCTGAAAAGTGTGCTCTACAGTCATGAAAATGGGCAAAGAAAGACAGGGCCAGGGCTATAGCTCAGTGGTCCTGAGGCTCATCTGGAAGGCACCAGGTCCTATGTTAGTCCCCAGCACCAACAGCAAAACTATAAAGGAAATGAAATGGACAAAGGAAAGAAATGTTCAGAGAAAATGGGGAAGGGATAAAGAGAAAGCAAAGCACTGATATACTGAGCAATCTCTCCCAAGGGGCAATGGTACTTTAGACAGAAAGTAGACTCTTTCACAGGAAACTTTTAAAGTCCATCATAGAAGTTTTTAAAAATACAGTCTGGGCCAGGCATGGTGGCACACCCCTTTGATCCTAGCACTCAGGAGGCAGAGGCACACAGATCTCTGTGAAATGGAGGCCAACCCAGTCCTAAGTTGCAGGCCAGCTGGGGCTACAGGGAGATCCTCTCAAAAAAAACAAACAAAAAATAGTCTGACACAACTCTCCATCCTCACAGGCAGGGCTGTGACTCAGTGACTATGCCAGATGATGATGACCACTAGGCTAAACAGGCCTAGGTTTCTAGGCTTTTTGTGCAGTTAGTGGGGCTCTTTCTAACCCTGTTCTATCAGGGGTCACTTCTTGCTGTACTCAGGCCCAGCTCCCCAAGTTTCTGTTTTGACTTGCTGGGAGATGGACACCCTAATGTCCAGGGGAGAAAACTCCAAGTGAGAAGAGGGAGAAATCAAGCCACTTTTGCCAGAGGCAGCTCCTGTGTGGGTCTGAAGTTTTGTTTATCTCCAACTAAGGGGCTCTGGGAAGGCAGGGGGCTCAACAGTGGAAGGGAAAAAGCAAAGGAAGAAGAAATAGAAAAGGAGTAAAGAACAGGGACAGGAACACACACACACACACACACACACGAAGGTAGGTGGCAGGCATACAGGCAGCTCTTGTAGCAGGGCCTTGCCCCAGGGAGTTCTGCCAGGCTGACCTGACCTCTCATCATCCACCCTTGGCCAAGGATGAGCTTATCTAAAGAAGTCACACAGACATTGCCAGCCCTGGCCCTCAGAAGGTTAGAATTTGGGCTGTGCCAATACTCAGGGTCTGGAACACAACACCAGGCAGGGCTCTGTATACAACCAGTGGCCTAGGCTTTGTGTGCACTGCAATCCTTCAGCTTTCTACTTCAAGTCACAAGAGAGACTGAGCACCTGGGAGTGCTGTGGAGTGAAGCCTTAAAGAAACGGGTTCAGTTCTAAAACCACAGATTCTACAGTACACTGTAGCTTCTGCTTCCCACCAGTCCTTGAGTGTGTGTGCACACATGTGCAAACATCACACATGAAAGATTAAATGGGGTAAAAGGTAAACAGCAGGCAGGCAAATCATGTGGGCAGACCATGCACGTTTTGATTTCTACAGCTTTTGTTAAGTTTGAAACCATTATTCCATTTCATAATATCCTCAGCAAAGGCAGAATCAGAAGGACAAAAAGTGAAGGCTAGAGAGAAGGTGGGAAAGAGAAGACTGAAATGGGCAGAGGCAGAAAGGGTCCAAGGGGTTGGCCAGGGAGATGCAGAAGCTCTGGTGCTCGCCTGCCCCCCCACAGTCCTATCACCAGCCACCACTGCCCATGCTGCAGACTTATCAGCAGGTTTCTGTCCCTTTCCCCCAAGCCCTGACTCACCTCTCTACCTCTAGATGGCCACAGGCAAACCCGTGCTTGTGGCTAGGCCCTGGGGCACCTAAGTGGCTTAGCCTCCACACTGCAGAGACATCTTAGCTGTGTACAACTGACTGCCTTTATGCTATTCAGAAGCAGCTACAAGTCAAGATTCTCGGCCAGCCTCTGCCTAGGCAGGTGCTCTAGAGCCCTCATGGACCCTTTGGTGTATGTCAACTTTCCTGGGTGCTGAGAGCCTGGGTGCCAGGAGGCTGAGCCCAGGCTCCTGGGATCCCTTTTTGACCCAGAAGCAGACCCCATGGGTGTGTGCAAACAGACAGTTCCTGTCTCCAAAGATAGGCTCACAGCTAACTCATTTTTCAGGAAGTCAATCTTAAAACGTTCTCGTGTATAACAGACAGCACAGAAGCCAGAGGAACATACAGAACAATCAGAACAGATCCCACTTAAGAAAAGCCTCTGTTGTCAGCTGTGTTCTGTTATACATGTTTAAATTTTAAAGTTTAATTAGAAGATTCCAGATAAAGCTTCAGACCCATAAGATTCTTATGTAAGGCTCCTTCTCCCACTCTAGCAGAATATTAAAGAAATTCATAAAACCTTCTAGTCATTGGTGGTGACTTTAAAGAGCAGGGCTGGTGAGATGGTTCAGTAGGTAAAGGCACTGACATTTTGATCCCCAGAACCCACGGTGGAGAAGAAAACTGACACAAAAGTTATCCTCTGACTTCCATACACATGCCACAGTACATGTGTGCACACATGTAAACAATAATAAAAATTTCTTGAAGAAATTAAATTTAGGGGGCTGGAGAGATGGGTCAGTGGTTAAGAACACTGGCTGCTTCTTGCAGAGGACCCAGGTTTGGTTCCTAGCACCCACATGGTGACTAACAACCATCTATCTGTAACTCCAGTTCCAGGGGATCCAATGCCCTCTTCTGGCCTCCATAGGCATCATACTCTTGTGGTGCACATATACCCATGTACGTAAAACTCTCATACACATAAAATAATAATAAATCAAAATTTTTTAAAGAAATTGAAATTAGGAAGTATCAAGTCACAGTACCCTACATAAAGAAGTCAGCCTAAAATGAGAGACTAGGTTAATGTGCATACATTATAAGACCAACATGCAGAGCAGGAAGGGTAGAACGTTACCTGATTTGGATGTAATAACAAGGACTCGCTCATCCAGTGTTTTTATTGTCTTCTTGAAGCCACAAAGAGCTTCAGAAAGCTGAATTTTCATTTTCATGATCAAATCATGGCCTCGTCTCTGAAAGACACTATGATCCTTCTGATCAAGCACAATTATGACATCACCAGGCTCCAGCTCAGGCTCCTGATCTCCTTCTCCATGAAATAGTATCTTTTGCCCATCCTTCATACCTATAAAACATCACCCCTTTCTGATTAGCCATTTCTCACAACCAGAACTTCTCAAGAGTTTTTTGATGAAGGGACACTCATTAAACCTCCCAACTTCATGTGGCCACAGGTCAGGAGGAGTGGCTGGGATTATCACTAAGGTTTCACTTCCATCATGGGCCCTGGGCTGGGGTACAGCAGGGAGAGGGCAAATAAGGCTCTATGTCTGATCACAACACACCCCAGAGCCCCAGGTGCTGGGGTACCACACTGAGGTCACCACCTACTTCCTGGTACACATGAGCATGGCTCTAGGGCTTGAAGGGGAGAGACTCTTTTTGGAAGCATCTAAGTCTTTCTACTATGTGGATATAGAAGCACAGGAAGAAGGCATGTTTAAAGGAAAAGTCTTTAGCAACACTTGTGTTGGTTTGGGTCTTGATTATTTGATTTTGGGTCTCATCTGACCTATGAAATATTTACTGGATCAAGTCACAACATCAGGATTTTTGAAAAAACATCTGGGACTGATGTGGGCCTTAAGATGATGGCACCAGGCAAAACAGCAAGGGAAAGCACAGCATTTAGGAGAATCTGGTGCAGCTCAAGAACAGGAGGGGACAGGAACACACAGGTACAAAGACCTACGATGTTCTGGCAACCAGTGGACAATAAAAGCTGTTAGGAAGAAAACTCCAAGATTCCTATGGGATGATTTGAAAGGGGCAGGAGAGGGCAATTTAATAAAACTGAGGCCAAGACTTCAGAGCATCAGAAAAAACCCTGAAAATGTTGTCTGTGACCTCAAGGGACTCTTCAGGCAACAAAACTTGAATGGGTGACACAGATTGGAAATTGGGCCAGGAAAGGTCACAGGAAGATGAGTTGCAAAGGAGCTCCTGGCAGCCCTGGAATCTTGTAAAGAGATACAGCCCACATCCCTGACACCACCCTGTGTGTGCCACCATTAGCGGAGAGCCTCTACAGCCAGTCTGCATCGCTAGCTCTGCGCAGCCTCACCTTTCTCCACGTGCACCTCGATAATCTTCTTCTCACGGATCACTTTGGCACCACTACAACTTTCACAGCGGTCCTTGGGGTTGATGCGCTCACCCTGGCCCTTGCACTCAATGCACACCGTCTGGATCTGCTGCACCATGCCAGGCCCGATTTGCTGGATGTGGATCTGCATCCCCCGCCCCTTGCACAAAGGGCACTTCTCCACTGATCCCTTCTTCCCGCCAATGCCTGTGGGGGTGGAAAACAACAGGAATGAGGGCTATGTCTTCCCTGGCTAGTGTCATTAGACAGCACAAAGCTGTCTAATGATGACACTGGGTATTGGGGCTGGGATTCTATTTACACCCATGGAAGCAGTTTGGATTTGGAAGAGTGCAGTCTAGCATATCATATCTACATGTTGGCAGCTAACCTCCAACTATTGTTTTTAGTTCCACTAATCTAAATGGAATTCTTTAGCTTTATTAAATGTGCTTTCTTCCAGGGTGCAAAACACCCACACCACAGGTTCATGCATGAGGACGCTGGAGCTTCAGAAAACTGAAGGGCACAAACTCTGTCAGTGCAAGCCAGTTCTCTCTGGGACAATATGGTCTTGGGATCACCAAATTTGACTTTTCTTAAAAATTCAGATTTAGGAAATTCATGTAAGTTACATTAACACAAGCAAGCTTTATGGGACATGGACATATTCATTCATGTACTATGCCAGCAGAACAAAGCCTAAGATATTTGCTGTCTCACCCTTCACAGAAAAACTCTGCCAACACTTGGGTTAGGTAGACTGTCCTGATTTTGAAACTTTTAGAATAACTGCCAACATATTAAATAGCCCATGCAGCCCAGGAAAAAAAATCAAGCAAACGGATCTGATTTCAGACTTCCCTGTTTGCAAACCCTGCTTTACTCCGCCCCCCATTTGAAAAGATCAATTATTTTTCTCTAAACTGGGAAAAGAGCAGAAACAAGGAATCTGAACTGAGATTCATTCAAAAAATAATTTTTACCTTCACATTTCTCACAAATTACATTTTTCTGGAGGGCCAATTTCTTTGTGACTCCATTATATAAGTCTTCCAGAGTTACAGATAACTGATGTACCACATTCTTGCCTTACCAAGGGAGGAAAACACCAGTTATTAATAGTGTATTAACCATACCACTGCATTACACTCTACCCACATGACTCTTACAGAGTACCCAACACTCAAGACTCAGGCCTGCCTGAGCCATTCACTCCCCTCTCAGAGAAGCAATGCTTCCTTACAACAGCCCATCCTACTGCTCCCTGCCATGGGCAGAGAACCCCTCTGGCTATGAGCTAGTTATTCAATCATTTGTAGAGGTCAACAAAAAGACTGTCCACCTTTATTTTCAGAGAGGACATCTGAGGACAGAGAGAAACAAAAGGGAGTTACCCAGTGAAACCAAGTCTTGCTCACTACAGAAGCCTTTTCTTCATAGATGAGGGTGTGACTCGGACTCTCCAACCCTTTCACTGAAACTTATCCTCGGCACTAGGCCTTTTACTTTTGAGCCTTCTGCAGCATGTGGCCAAGCAGGGGGTGTTCATCTCTCCAAATCTGGTTTTTGCATCCAGGGGGTGTTTAGCCCTTAGGGAGGGAGTCTGGCTGCACTGGTGCTATGCCCACTCCTAAGGACCAACATACCAACACCTTGCCTGCTGCCCCATGTTCTTGAAGTCACTGGGACAAGGTGTCCTGTTTATTGGCTGTCAACTTTAAGAGCTGACTGACTGTGTTAAGGGCGTTAAGCTTTTCATTTCAAGACAGCCAGAGAGCTGGGCAAGAGAATACCCAAGGTTTTAATCATGTCCACATCATCAATTACATGAGCAGGCAGCACACCCAGAGGGCATGGAGGGATTTTTTTCCTCATAAACACTTTGTGATTTTCAGTACACTGTGTTCACAGAATTGACACCCAAGCTTTTTAAAGCTCCAAGCCAATTACAATGTGAGAACAAATACATTTATCCAGGGTTTCTCACTAACCAAAGCCACACTTCTTAAAACTAATAAAGAGCTATTTCTCCTGATTTTATCCAGAAGTGTATAGTAAGCTTGACTATCTATATAGTTTTAAGCTCCAAAGTAGATTATCAGCAGTGAACTGATGGAGGAGGGGCTACAAGTCAAAGACAATACAGCTAATACAGAGGACAGCCAACAGCACTGGCAAGAAGCGAGATGTAGAGAAATGAGGCAGGGGATATAGTTTGGTTGGCAGGGTGCTTGTTTAGCATGCATGAAGCCTTGAATTTGACCCCAGCACTGTATAAACTGGGTGTAGTGGCACACACCTGTAGTCTTAGCACTTTGGGAAGTCTAAGGTCATCCTCAGCTATGTAGGGAATTTGAGGCTAACCTGGGATACATGAGATCCTGATTTTAAAAAAAAAAAAAAAAAACACAACTGGAGGGAAATGTAATGTAGTGATTTGAATGAGACTGTCCCCCTACAGACTCCCAAGTATTTGAACACTTAGGCCTAACTTATAGTGTTGTTTATGGAAGGTCATGGAACCTTTAGGAGGTGTGGCCTTGCTGGAGGAGGCACATCACTGAGGGTAGGCATTGCCCATTTCCAACTTGCCTCTCTCTGCTTCCTGCACCTGCTTGAAGATATGAGTGCTCAGCTTTCTGTTTCGGCTGCCTCCTCCATGCTTCCCTGCCATGATCAACTCCTATCCCTCTGGAACCATAAGCTCAATAAATTCTTCCTTCTATAAGTTGCCTTGGTCATGGCATTTCATCATACCAGAAAAGTAACTATTACAGGGAGAGAGGGAGGAAAAAAGGCAAAGGGGACACAAACCCTAGAGCTCAAAAACAGTAGTCTGGAGCCATTCAGGAAAAAAAGTCCTCATTTACCTCCTGGGGATGAGGCTGCTAACCAGAAAGCCTTCTGTAAAGGGCATTTATCTTACAAAGATTTTTAAACAGAAAGAAGTCAATTTTGTCACTCAGAAAATCCAGTATTGGCTGGGAACAAGGCCACCCCGAACAAGGCTGTGTCCCAACTAGAGTAATGAGAGTGCCTGTCAGGCTTGGCTCAGATGGGGGACCAAAGTCAGGGAGGGGGAGGGGAGGGGAGGGGAGGGAAAAGAAGCACCCTTGGCAGAGCATCACTAGGCACTGAAGTGCCACTTACATCCTTAGGACACTCTGGTGCCATAGCACCTCTGGTCCCATAGCAGAGGAAAAGACGGCAAGATGAACTTGACCTTAATTGTTTTGTGACAGGGTATTACTATGCAGCTCCGGCTGGCCTGAGCTGGCCTAGAACCTAGTGATCCTCCCACCCTAGCCTCTTGATGCTAATATTACAGGTGTGTTCCTTGATTTCTCTACAACCCATCCGCTCCTTCATATGGGGTATTTATTTGAAGGGTGTCAGATACTTAGCTATACAAAAGATTCCAGAAGCCTGCATAAGAAAGTATCATCTGTTTAAATTTAATGATCCCCAAACACAACAATCACACCCTTTAAAGCATGATCCATTTTTGATTCCAGCAACATGTGTACCTGTGGCAACATAAAGCTTGCTTACATTTCATTTTTTTAAATATTTTTATTTTATGTGTACGCATGTATTGCCTGTACGTATGTAAGTGCACCCATGTCATACAATGCCTGCAGAGGTCAGAAGAAGGCGTCAGATCCCCTGAAACTGGAGTTACAGACAGTTGTTAGCTGCCATGTGGGTGTTGGGAATTGGGTCTTCTGCAAGAACAGCCAGTGCTCTTAACTGCTGAGCTATCTCTCCAGCCTGTTGCTTACCTTTATTTACAAGCATCTACAGGCCAGCAAGATGGAGAGTGTACAGGTATTTGCCACCAAGCCTGACCACCTGAGTTCAGTTTCCAAAACCAGACTGGTAGGAGCAGAGGACCTACTTCCCTACTCTTCTTGCAAATTGTCTTCTGACCTCCATACACACCCTGCATGTATGCAGGTGCATATGTGCATATACACACAGGTAGGTAGGTAGGTAGGTAGGTAGGTAGGTAGGTAGGTAGGTAGGTAGTAGACAGATGACAGACAGATGGACAGACAGAAAGATATAAAAGGATAGACAGGGAGATGGATAGATGTAAAAAATTAATCTGGGCGTGGTGGTGCACGCCTATAGTCCCAGCACTTGGGAGGCAGAGGCATGTGGATCTCTCTAAGTTCAAGGCCAGCCTGGTCTACATAGTGAGTTCCAGGACAGCTGGGGCTGCAGGGAGACCCTGTCTCAAAAAGACAAAAAAAAAAAATTTAAAAATTTTAAAGCATTTACCTCTTCTCTCTCTAGCCATCCGTCCTCCACCACCAAAGAACATGTCAAAGATGTCCATGGGTGAGGAGAAGCTGGGGCTACCCGAGCCTCCTTCTTTAATTGCCTGTTCTCCACCTTGGTCATAGATGTCTCTTTTCTTTGGATCTGAAAGTACTTCATATGCCTGGGATATAAGTTTAAACTTTAAAAGAGAGAGGGAGAGATTTAAAATGAGGCACAGAGAGTTGTCTTTGAAGCAAACTTACCATCCAAATGTAACAATCCAGTCCCTTGAGCCACCAGTCTACATGTTGCTGCTTTTGTAAGTGGGACACAAAGGAAAGATGTCATAGAGACTGACAATAGGGAAACTTCAAGAATAGGGACAGAAAGCAGGAGGAAGAGAAAGTTCCTCTCCAGCCTGACTGCATCAGCCAGAAGATAGCTGGGAGATAGGAGAGCCGGCCAGGGCCTCATTTACAACCAGCTGCAGCCCAGGACTCCAGGTGCCACTACTGTTTCCAGCTCATAGGAATCACTTTACTAGTTTACAAATGTGAAATCCAACCATAGCCATCTGTGAGCACCTGCTGGGCATGCCAGATACCATGTGCAAACCTGTACTCCTGCTCTTAGAGTCCTGCCCGACTGCCCCATAGTATCCCCCATGTCCTAGTTACTGGCAATGCCAGTCTCACCTGTCAACAAATCCTGGTGGGTACTCACATATGTATCTCCTGTACTCTGGCAGACACAATACCCCATGTATGGCATGCCTGCCAAAAATCCATCACCAGAATCCAAATGTCATATCAGGCTAAGTAGCACATCCCTTTAATCCCAGCACTTGGAAGGCAGAGGCAGGCAAATCTCTTGAGTTCAAGGCCAGCCTCGTCTATATAATGAGTTCTAGGCAAGGCAGGGCTACATGATGAGACCCTGTCTAAAAATACAAAAGAAAAGGAACCAGAAAACCAAAACAGAGACATTCTACAAGTCTAAAAGACAGAAAAACTAAACATAAAGGGTGACCCTGGAATGGTTTATGCACAGAGGTGGAGGTGGGGATAGGGGTGAGTGGGGGGTAGTACAAAGGACATTACTGGAACAAGTGGGAAATATAAAGTATTTAGTAACTGTACTATAATCACTATAAGAAGGTCCTTGTTTATAGGGAAATCACAGTAAAACATTCAGCACTGCAAAATACTCACAAAAGCTCTAGTAAATAGTTAAGATAGAGCTTATGAGGCAACTTAATTGGTGAGGCCAGATGGAGGGTATGCAGGTGTCCCTGTCACTCTTTGCACATATGGACATCTCTAAAACAAAGCAGAACACTAAAACATGCAAATTCCACCCTTTCTCCCCACCTTCACCACCTTAGGGCCTGGACTTCAGTAATCACTTCATTCCTGCTTTAGCCTGTTCCCCACCAAGCCTGTGAACTGTGAACCTCCTCAAGGCAGCCCAGGTCCTTGGAAATAAAAGCCAGTTAAGCCAGTTCTTACTGTCACCTAGAACCCAACTCTGCCTTCTACTCTTCTCTGGCCCCCAATTTTTTTTTTTTTTTTTTTTTGGCTTTGCTTTGGGTTTTTGTTTTTTTTGAGATAAGGCTTCACTACTTTTTCACCCCAGGTTGGCTTCAAACCCCAAACAAAAC